GGCTAGAAGAAAGCTGGGGAGGGGCTTGTTAGGATGTCGGGTAGTGACAGGACTAGAGGGAATGGGTTAAAGCCAGAGATGGGTCGGTTCAGATGGGACGTGAGGAAGAAGTTCTTCCCCATGAGGGTGGTGAGACCCTGGCACAGGTTGCCCAGAGAGGGGGTGGCAGCCCCATCCCTGGGAGTGTTTCAGGCCAGGCTGGATGGGGCTCTGGGCAGCCTGATCTAGTGGGGATGTCCCTGCCCATGGCACAAGGAGTTGGAACTGGATGATCTTTAAGGTCCCTTCCAACCCTGACAGTTCTATGATGCAGAGAAGAGCAGAAATGTAGTTGGTTTTGGAGGAGCTGGAAGAGGAGCTGAGGCAATCTCTTCCTGTATGTGCTGGAGTCTCCAGGCAGTGAAAGGGACTCCAGTCAAAGGGTCTTGCGCGTATGTCTGTACCTACTGCCCTGTGTCCCCAACAGGTTGTGGAACTGATTGGAGTACAAGCCACCTCCCTCCAGCTCCTTACCTGCTCCTCACAGGCAAAGGTCCCACCATGTTGTGTTCAGGTCCGTGTTGGGGTGGGGAAGTCAAGCACAAGTAGGCGAGATGCGGATGCAGTGCCACTGGGAGGCAGAATGGCTGGATGTTGAGTGGATGGTGGGGAGGCTGTGGGATGGAGACCTGAGACACTCTGTGGGTATAAGGGTGGTTGAGGTTTATTCCTCTGCTTCCCCATCTCCTCCAGAGAGGTTTGGAGCCCAGGGAACCAGTCCTGTGCGCTGAGCTGGGCTCCAGGCTGGTCTAGTTACACAGCTTCAGTTGTAACTGCAGGGGAAGAGAGAATTTTTCAGGAGGCTGAGAGGAAGTGCAGGTGTTCCCAAAAAGCAGCCTTGAACTGCCAGATACACAGGCATACAGCTTCCTGCAGCTTAGCAAGGAAGAGTAGTTGTCATTCTCAGAATATATCTTTGGGGGTCAACAGTCGATCTTGTGGAGCTGGCAACATCTCTCCAAGCTATTGTATTACAGGAGTGGACTGGCCTGATCTGTGCTGTACTCAAGGCATCAGGAGCTTCATTTCTAGCCATGTTTCAGTGAACACAACAGTTCTGAAATACAA